TTTGTATGTATCTTGTGTCTTCCTTGGTGTTCCTTTTCCTAGGCAAATTAGATCACTCTTCCTCATAAATTTTGATCTGAAAATACTTCTGTGTATTGGGCTATCTCTAACCTGAATAGCTTCTTCTATATAAACTTTATTTCACAATCATAACATAAAGTGTTTTCCCCACTTGGAATTTTGTGCTAGACAAAATGATATTGTTAGCTTTTTTTTTTTTTTTTTTTGGGTCCAGTCGTGGGGCCTGAACTCTGGGCCTGGGTGCTGTCCCTCAGCTCTTCAGCTCAAGGCTAGCGCTCTACCACTTGAGCCACAGCGCCACTTCCAGCTTTTTTTCTTTTTGGTTATGTGATTCTGAGGAATTGAACCCAGGGCCTCAAGCATGCAAGGCAAGCGCTCTACCACTGAGCCATCTTCTCAGCCCTTGTTAGCTTATTTTAAACTACAAATTCCTAACATTCAAAACTAAACTTTTCATTGACTCTCTAAATCTATACGTTTCTCTTATCTATATTATCTTTTAAAAAATTTACTCCGGCTTAATGGAGTGCAGTCATCTTTAATACCTCTTTTTCCATGGCTCACTACATTACATCAGCTGCCAAATCTTATACTTATATCAGTATAAATACCTTTCAAACCAATGATGGCTCTCACATACTTACTACTATAGTCCCGTCTCAGATGATTTATTTCTCTCTGTGATGCTCACTATCTCTCCCTCAAATTTATGGCAACTTTAGTCTCATCATCAATCAACCTTTGGGCAAACAAAGGTCAGACTCTTAACCTGGTAGTCAAGGTGTTTCATAATTTGGCTCACATGATTTTTAGAATTCAAAGGAAGAGGAAGTAGGTCTTTCCTAACAACTTCGTGAATTTTTTTTTCTTACTGGAAAATATTTAAACCCAATATTATTTTGGCACTAGTCTATATGGAGTACAGAGTCAAATTCTGTATTCAGTTGCAGTGACTTTGCCTAACTTAAGATTTCTCCTTTACCCCTACCTCTTAAAATACTTGGTTATTACCCTCAGCAAAAAAGGAGCATTGTGGGGCTAGGGCATGGCTCAAATGGTAGAGCACCTTCCTAGCAAATGTAAAACACCAAGGCCCACAATAAAGAGAAAAAAGAAAGGAAGGAAAGAAAGAAGAAATGAAAGAAGGAGAATATTTCACAATAATACAAACCTGAATGAGTTTTATATTTCATTTACTTAAATGAATAAAGTGATTCTATAGATGAACATTAATTGTTCATACCCTTACCTGGTTTTAAAAAAATCTTTGAGCATATAAAATAAGTTAAAATTCCCAGAATAAGATGACTTACAAGTTTCAGCTATGTTTTGAAGACCTTTCAGAGATTACTTACCATGAGAGAGCTGCCAAAGTATGAGTACAGATAAACATTTCAACTTTCAAAAGGATTAAAGGAGAACTGTGGAATATCGTTGACAATGTGCCATTACTCTATATATCCACATTTAAGAAGGTCCTAAATCCTGGATGTGTGGCTTAAGCCTGTAATTCTAGCTACTTAGGAGGTGGAGATCTGGGGATTGAGAGTTCTTTTCTGTTAGTTTGTATGGTTTGTTGTTTGGTAGGTTTTACTAAGAAAAACACAATCTAGGGGATTCATTACTGGCCAAGAGTCAACTTCATAAACTCCACAAAAGACCCTATGCTTCTGTGTAAATTACTATATTTTTTAAATATCTAAATGACTTAGGCAATATTATAACTATATCTAATTAAGGCTATTTATACATGATGGCAAATTGACCTAATGGAAAAATAAACAGTGGAATGTTCTAGTGAAAATGACTAAAACTACCCTAGTGTTTTAATTATTGTGACATAAATTATTACAATCTGGAATCTCAGAAACCAGGTTTGAGACAGAATTTAGTGTGTCAGATGTTTACTAAAGAATGTCCCCAGACTGAACACCTATAGAAGAATGGGAAATTAAACAGGATTGAGTAGAAAGAAAGTGAGCTATGATGTCTATCCAATGACAGAATCAGCCAATCCTGTGTGAACTCTTCGGTGCTCTTCTCCTTCAGTTAAGATAACCATACTTCATATCATGACAATCAATCATTGAGTATCATCTTCCCTGGAAAGGGCCATGACTTTGAATATGGTACTCCTCTGCATTTGAGACAAATCATGAAAGAAGATGGCAGCTAAAGGCTTTGCTAGCAACTCTCCCAGATTCTGGATAACCAGTCTGTCATTGAAGGGAATTTATGGCTGCATACGATGTATCCATCAATAAGCAGGTTAATGCCTCCTAGTACTCACATAGTCCTTGAAATATCAAATGTTAGGGCTGGGAAGGTGGCTCAGTATTAGAGCGCTTGCCTTGCATGCCTGAGGCCCTGGGTTCGATTCCTTAGCACCACATAAGCAAAAAGAAAAAAGCCAGAAGTGGCACTGTGGCTCAAGTGGTAGAGCGCTAGCCTTTAGCTGAAGAGCTGAGGGACAGCGCCCCAGGCCCAGAGTTCAGGCCCCATGACCAACCAAAAAAAAAAAAAAAAAGAAATATCAAATGTTATAGCCTTGCAAGGTTTAATATAGTGAAAAGCAATTCAAATTTGTCTAAATCATTATCAGTCACATGACAAATGTTCGGTCCTACATCTCCATATAGAAACCTTCTGTTTTTCAGTCTCTTCATCCAGTAAACAAGTGAACTGGATTGCTCATGTATCTCCACAAAAGCTTAACAGCCTAGATGCTGTTAGCCTTTGCTCAAGGCTAGTGCTCTACCACTGGGCCACAGAACCACTTCCAGCTTTTTCTGTGATTGATTGGAGACAAGAGTTTCATGGACTTTCCTGCCCCGGCTGGCATCAAACCGTAATCCTCAGATCTCAGCCTCCTGAATAGCTAGGATTACAGGTGTGAGCCACGGTTGCCCAGCCATAATTAACTTTTATGGATAAAAACAAGAACAGAATCAGAAAAAGTTCTGCTTAAGTCATAAGATTATTAGCTATTCAGCCTTCTTCCTCATGACTTACAAGATAGAAAATTCAAGAACTGAATCTTCAGAAAGATCATTACTTAAGTGATCCTAAAATTATTTAGAGTGTGCTAGAGTTCTGATGCTAAATAAATACACAAAGAAATGCAAAGAGGGGCTGGAAAGGTGGCTCAGTGGTAGAGCGCTTGCCTTGCATGCATGAGGCCCTGAGTTCGATTCCTCAGCACCACATAATCAAAAAGAAAAAAGCCAGAAGTGGCGCTGTGGCTCAAGTGGTAGAGTGCTAGCCTTGAGCTGAAGAGCTGAGGGACAGCGCCCAGACCCAGAGTTCAGGCCCCACGACCGGACCCCAAAAAAAAAAAAAAGAAACGCAAAGAAATGATTTAATAGAATTAAATTCAACAACATACTGTGGATATATTGAATGTTTCTGCCACTTATGGTTTGAAGGCAAAGTTTCTTTATAATCCAAACTATTATAAAATACAGCACTTTTTGAATAATTATTACTTTGGTGAGTAATTGTTAAAGCTACAGCCTTATTCTGATTATTCCTTTACTCACTACCACTTGTTTCTTCTGTCTTAATTGTTTCCTGAAATTTCAATAAGAAACCCTCAATGGTTAGTCATTTAAAATAAACGTTTTTTTAAATTATCACACAGAACAACAAATATGAAAAATATCAAGTCTAACATTATCAGTGATTATATGACAAGCTATTTGGTGTCAGTATTCTCAAGAAGAGTGACTATGCATTAGTAATCTGATTTCCTTTTTTTTGTCGGTTGTGGGGCTTGAACTCTGGACTTGGGTGCTGTCCCTCAGATCTTCAGCTCAAGGCGAGTGCTCTACCCCTTGAGCCACAGCACCACTTCTGGTTTTCGAGTGGTTTATTGGAGATAAGAGTCTCACAGACTTCCCTGCCCAGGCTGGCTTTGAACCGCAATCCTCAGATCTCAGCCTTCTGAGTAGCTAGGATTACAGGCGTGACCCACCCGCGCCCGGCATTTTTAATCTTTAATTAACTAATTATCCTATTAAGACTTCATGTGTTTTTTTAAACTAAATTTTAAAAAAATCTTATTTTGTTACAATTTAATGTAAACTTCCTACATATGTTAGTGGTAATTTTAGAAACTCAATACAGTAGGAATGTAGGGGTAGAAATTTGGCTGGGTGGAGGGCTTTGAAGATGAATTTTCAGAGAAGCCAGCAGGTTTAACTTGGATTTTATATTTACTGAGAAGATTCTGAAAGGTAGGGAGATAGCTAATGGCCCACAACTACTGCTTCTTGTCTGTTGCAAAATTGCTACATATTAAGGCAATTTTACAAACACAAATTTTGCTCTCTAGGAAAGTGGCAGTTAGTATATGGAATGGCAGTAGAGAAGAAAATGCAAGTATAGAAGTACAAAAGCTTAAAAGGATGAAAAATGAATGGATATTACATCTGTGTAAAAAAAAATCAAAAAGTGTATCAGACAAAATGGCACTGTAGCTAGGCCATGAAGTGGACTTTAAACAGTCTGAATAGCTTATATGTGCTTATGGATGGTATTATTTACATGTGCAGAAAAAATAAATTAAAAATAGATGTCAATTCAGATCAAAGCAATAGTGACAACGATCTAACAATGAACCAAAAGCTTTTAGTTTTATCTCAATACCCACTTTCATACTTGATTTTACATCTAGAACCATAGATTTATGTGCCCTTAAAGGTAATTCTGTAATTGTTGTGGTAAAAGTATCATTTCCCATGTTAATTTGATTCTGACAGTAGCATTTCCCACGTTAATTTGATTCCGATCCATAGCTGATGATGCTTTCAAATACTTTTCACAAGTTTAAAAGGATGTGAAAAATGCCAGGATTTCTTAAACAATTTTCTACCCAATATCATACAAGAGAAAGACTAAACTGAATCCACTTTTGTTCCTAGGCCAAGAGTTGGTTCCAGCAGGAATTCTGAAGAGCCACAACGATGTACCAGTGAATAATGAGTAGCATCTACTGTGGGAATTCTTCAGCTAAGATGAGCGTCAACGAAGTCTCAGCTTTCTCTTTGACTCTTGAGCAAAAAACTGGCTTTGCCTTCGTTGGGATTTTGTGTATCTTCTTGGGACTTCTTATTATCAGATGCTTCAAAATTCTGCTAGACCCCTATAGTAGCATGCCTTCTTCTACATGGGAAGATGAAGTGGAGGAGTTTGATAAGGGAACATTTGAATATGCACTTGCGTGAGCTTTCCAGATTCATATTTTTATGATTATGTCCTTGAGACAGGTGGCAGATGCATTTGGAATCACCCCGATTGTGCAGGAGAGAGAAGTGCATTTCATTCACTGAAATCAATAAACGTCTGTGATTGATTTATCCACCATGTTGTGTAAACGATAAGAGCTTGTTGAGGTTTCTCCTTTTCCCCCATCCTACCCCATTCTCCTCATTGAGGTCCTTACTGAATAGAGCCACCCAAAGTGCCTATGTTCTTACCTTGACCATCTGCCTTGGAGGACTGCATTCTTTCATATGCTAATAGACTACATAAAGGTATCCCTCTTCCTCTCCTCCTCAGTGCCCAAGTACCCTCTCCATATTCCAGACAGAGGCTCTTAATTTAGCTGTTGTAGGGAGGGGAAGGGCTGTCCTAGTCTCTTAAGGTCCCAGATTGTGTGAGAAACACTAAGCCAAGAAATTGACCCTTTACTAAAAACAGAGAGGCCATAAAGGGAGACCTTAAAACCTATTTCACACGGACTCCGGCCCTATTTCATACCCTGTCCAATTAGAATGGCGCCTGGGGTGCGTGCTTGTGATTGAATGCCTCCTGCTTCAAGAGAGTAGATGCCTCGGGGTGCACATTGTGTGTCCTCCTGTAGCTATCTTTGTAACCTCAATCTCCTGTAGCTGTCTTTGTAACAACCCCCAGCTTCAAGGATGCTGGGGCATATGACATGATGTTTCTGGAATGTACAAGCCCTTCCCCCTACCATGAGTAAGAATATCCGCCTGCGTTATGTGGGGACCCCCAAATTCAAACCAGAATAATAGGTTCGATCAGTTACTATGAGACGGACTGTAACCCCATTGGCCACTGACGTAAAGATGCAATCTTTGTGTGGATGTGTGTTACAATCCCATTGGCCACCTGCGTGTGGCCAGGCTTGACCACATGGATTTTGCCTTTAAAAACCCTAGCTTGTGGGCCGTTGGGGGTCACAGTTTCAGCTCCCCGAGCCTGTGCTGTGTCCCTGGCCCTGTCAGCTATGCGTTTCCCCAATTAAGTCCTCTTTTTACAAGAGGCTATCTCTGAGTGGTGGACTCTTTTCCCCCAACACTGAAATGAATCAAGTCTTAAACATAAGGGACCCTTAGTCCAAATAAAAACAGAATGTGATTTCTTAAATAACAGCCATAGGTTATAAAAGGTTCCTAATGAAAAAAAAAAAAATTCAGAAGCCAACACCTTCAAACCCTATAATTAGGCACAGGTCCTAGAGCTTCTCAAAACTCACAAAGCTTTTCTAGTTCTTGTAGAATCTCTTGCAAGAAAACCCTATCTAGTTTGGAGTCCAAACCAGATCTGCCTCCTATCAACACTCCCTTCACCACCACCTCATAAGTAACCTTTTAAACGGAGTAGCCAGAATGACCCAGCAGAAGGAACTCTCTACCAGAACAAGAAGTCCAGTCTACCACCACTAGAGCTGTGCAATCTTCACCCAGTTGTCTAATCTCTGTGGGAGTTAACCAGAGGATTAAAAAAAAACAAAAACCCTTTTAAGTCTACTATTCTAGAAATGCTACAAATGTACTTTGAGACCTAAAGATGAGGATTTGAGATACCATGAGAAACTTTCTAGGTCCAGGACCCTAAACTCAGCAATTTCAGTTTTAATGTAGACTTATCCAAGAGCTATAATTTACCTAAGGGGAAACTATTTTGCATATATGCAAATGAAGATAAGAACTCCAACCTGAATATCCGGCAAGAATATTGCAAAGAACTAATAGATATAATGTACGTGAAGGCACTTTGAAAAATAACACGTAGGATTTAAATGTATCTTCATTAGTAGCAGCAATAGAAGTTTTCTGATCTTAAGAAACCATGTAAGGTATTTCCCATATCCGGTCTCCATTTTCTTCCATTGAAAAATGAAAAAGTAGAATTACATAATTCTAAAAGTCCAACTAAGTTGAGCTAAATGGGAAAATAGAGGAGATAAATAAATATACAAGCATGTATGTCACTTGGGACTATAGACAATAAAGCATGATAAGAAGAAACCAGAGTAACATCTAACTGAAGCTGTACTAAATTAGGTGCTTTCTGTTTATTTGGTATTCATATCATCCTTTATATTTGGGACTGTTTCCATTTTATTTTTATTTAAATTTCTTTCTTTTTTTGTGCCAGTACAGGGGCTTGAATTTGGGGTCTACATGCTGTCCCTGAGCTTTTCTACTCAAGTGTAGGGCTCTACTACATCAGCCACAGCTCCACTTCTGGCTTTTTGTGGTTAATTGTAGATTAAGAGTCTCACACTTTTCCTGCCTGGGCTGCCTTTCAACCTTGAATCCTCAGATCTCAGCCTCCTAAGTAGCTAGGATTACAGGTATGAGCCACTAGGGTGGGGCATTTTTTTTTTAAATCTAAATTTCCCCCAGAAGAAACCAAAACCTAGAGTTGTGCATAATGGTACATGCGTGTGGACCAGGCAATAGTAGAGATAGGAAGACTACTGTTTGAGGTCTCCCTGAGCAAAAGCAAGATATCCTATCTGAAAGGAAAAAAAAATGCTTAAAGCAAAAGAACTGAGGTTCAAATAGAACATCTGCCTAGCAAGCATGAAGTTCAATTCCTAGTATAAACAAACAAATAACTGACGTCAGATGAAGGTCACAAAGCTAAGTTCTAGGCATCCCACCCATCAAGCCATTCCACTTCAGTGACTAAAATTTAACATGGCCATACTTTTTTTTCAAAAAGAAGAAAGCCACCAAAAAAAAAAAAAAAAGAAAAAAATAAGATATTTCTGAATGTTTAACTGCCACAAACTTTTTAAATAACTTCTCAGCAATGTCCTTCATAGTCCTGCTAAAGACAAAGGCTTCATCTATGATTTTTATGCAAATTATGGCCTACTATGTGCCTTTGATTTTTTTTGAATGTGTATTATGCGTTTTCAGAACTAGAAATACATATAAATTCAAAAGCCTGATTGTAATATGGATAGAACATGGAAATGTCGTGAAATGCTAGCTGGAATAAACAGCCATATTATATATCCAGAGCAAGTCCAACTGTTCCTTTGTAAAAGCCTTGTCTGAGAGAGCAGGAAGAAGGATGAAGGTGCATACCTTCACATAGGTATGCTTCTGTGAACTTTCTCACAACCTCTGGAAAGCCTAAATCAGGTTCACCTTTCAAGGTTAGCATTATGGATGGTGTAATTTCATCCATATCCCCCAAACTATCTCCCATCTGCTCCAGAAGGTCTGAATCCCCTTAATAAAGAACAAAGACTTTCATTTCACAGTTAAGAGATAAAAGTCTCAGAATGAAAATGTCTGCTTGATGTAAGACCAGGACTAAAACTAATTCACACTACATCGTAGTCAGGCAGGCAGACAGCAAGGAAAAAGAAATTGACTGGTATTGCATGCACTCAGCACTCACAGCCTTTGGGAAAGGAAAATGGTTAAAGAATAAACTTGCTCCTGAGAGCAAGTAGGGTTGTATGATGTTATTGAATAGCTTCTATCCCGGTCCAGTGAATATAACTGTTTCAGGTCCTAGTTCCATTTTAGCTGCCCCCAGTCTCGTTCTAAATAACTCTATCTCTTTTTAGCTGAATCTAAAATTCCTTTGCTTGAAGGACTTCTGCACTGGAGTCAGAATCTTGTGTGGAACAAACAAGCACCTTTTACTAGTGGCCTTTAAAAAAAGATTAGGTAGGATACAGGTACATCTTTGTAATTTTGTCTTTCTTTCTGATAGAACCTCAAGACATTCATCTGACTGTGTACTGTAACATTCACCAAGAGTGTCTGAATGGTTTTACCAGGTATCTCCAGGTCCCATTCTATCATCCTTTCATTGCCCATTAATTTACATTTCCCTCTATTTTAATATACAGGGCACTACCCAATCTCTAGTGATTGATCTCAAAACCCTAGTACTGCATTAACATTCTGATTATACATAATGCTAAAATAGCAAAACCAGAGAATACATACAAACTGTTATTGCTCTAAACTCTAACACAAATGAGCTCACAATTAGTACCATTATTACCCACACTTACATTTGCAGAAAGAAAATTCAGGCATAGAGTGGTTAAGCAACTTAAACAGAAGTCAAGAACGCTAGAGTTTATATTCAACCACTATAATGCACCACACCAAGCTACGCAGGCAACTGGAATCTACTTTGATAGTTTCTTATTAGATATTAGAAGGACTCATTCAGTCATTATGATGGAAAACCAGTGATAGAAACTGCAGGGAAGAATTGTCTGTTCAGTCTCTATAATCACCAACTTACAGAATTGAGCAAAAGCATCTCAACAAAGCTCAAAAACAGTTTGATTTTTTAAAAAAAAATTCCAGGTAGCAACAAACAGGCCATTAAGTATTGCCATTAGGAAATGTACCCACCCATATGTTGATTTTCTGCTTGAGACAGTTTTCCCAATAGGTAGAAATATTTTCAACAAATCATTAGTTCTCCTTTCAATTTGCTTACTTTCCATACAGAAAGGAGTCAAGGCAATATTTAAGATATAATCATTTCAGGCACTATTTTTCTAGTTTTACAGTATTGAGGTTATGTTTTGGGGACTATATTTTGGGGACTATTCTCCAGAGAGGGAGCTCATGAGGACTCATAAATAAGATGACCATGAGACTCCATTTATCTAGTCCCAAACAACTAAAGCAATATTTTTGAATGATTGCTATTGAGCAACCTAGTTCTACGCATGAACTAAAGAAACTTTATTTCCTGCCTAAAAAGATTAATGATTTACTACTAGTTACTAGTTGATGTGGTACTTAAGGTTCCCCCAAGGCTAATATCTGGGTGGGGCTTCTAAGTACTATTTCAGGCCAATCACTGAAGTCATCTCTCTTAAGAAAGGTTCTAACCAATAAGAAGAAGCCTAAGGTTCTGGATTGAAAGCTAAGTGTCTCTTATATGCCTGTGTAAAGCTGAAGTTAAGTTCCACTCCCTCAGA